TCTCTCAGTGTGTGTGTGTGTGTGTGTGTGTGTGTATGTATGTGTGTGAGTGATGGTGACGTCGTTGTGTGTTGTTACAGTGTGTCTGTGTTAGTGCTGGTGACGTCATTGTGGTCACTCTTTGTTTTTGTCAGTGATGATAAAACATCAGGAAAATGCTACCATTGTGATTAGAATTAAAACAACTACAACAAAACATGAGGTAAATTAAATGCTACAATGACGATAAAACATGAGGTAAATTAAATGCTACAATGACGATAAAACATGAGGTAAATTAAATGCTACAATGACGATAAAACATGAGGTAAATTAAATGCTACAATGACGATAAAACATGAGGTAAATTAAATGCTACAATGACGATAAAACATGAGGTAAATTAAATGCTACAATGACGATAAAACATGAGGTAAATTAAATGCTACAATGACGATAAAACATGAGGTAAATTAGATGCTACAATGACGATAAAACATGAGGTAAATTAAATGCTACAATGATGACAAAACATCAGATAAATGCTTTAATGATGATGAATTATACGGAAAACCATGCCACAATGACAATAAAACATGAGATAAATTAAATGCTACAATGACGATAAAACATGAGGTAAATTAAATGCTACAGTGATGATAAAACATCAGATTAATGCTTTAATGATGGTTATTATAGAAAGGTAAACCATGCTACAATGATGATGAAACATAAGGTAAATCCCCCTACAAATTTGATGCCACCTGGTAAATTATACTACAACGGTGAATAAAATGAGATAAATTATGCTGCAACGGTGAATAGACACCAGGTAAATTCCCCAACGATGTTTTTGTCACGTTCTCAGGTGAAGTACCTGGACTGGACCTTCAGTTTCCGCATGTCTCCCTTCAGCGGCCCCCTGGTGTATGACGTCAGGTTCAGAGGGGAGAGAATCGCTTACGAAATAGGACTCTCGGAGGTTGCAGTCTTTTATTCTGGGTTTGCTCCCTTTATGGTAAGACATTATTATTATTACATAATATTATTATTATTATTATTATCATTATTATTATCATTATTATTATTATTATTACATAATATTATTATTATTATTATTATTGCATAATATTATTATTATTATTATTATTATTATTATTACATAATATTATTATTATTATTATTATTATTATTATTATTGCATAATATTATTATTATTATCATTATTATTATTATTATCATTATTATTATTACATAATATTATTATTATTATTATTATTATTATTGTTATTACATAATATTATTATTATTATCATTATTATTATTATTATCATTATTATTATTATTATCATTATTATTATTACATAATATTATTATTATTATTATTATTATTATTATTATTATTATCATTATTATCATTATTATTATTATTACTACTATTATTATTATCATATTGATTATCATTGTTGCTGATGTTGTCGTTATTATTATTATTATTATTATTATCGGTGGCCTAGTGGTTAGGCTCTCGGACTCGCAACCGTAAGGTCGTGGGTTCGAATCCCGTCAGGGGCCCGACGTTGTGTCCTTGGGAAAGGCACTTTACACGAATTTTCCTCACTTCACCCAGGTGGGAATGGGTACCCGGCTATAGACAGCTAAAGATCTTGTCAGTTTGTTAGTGTTTGAGCGCTTAATCGGCTGCTCGCACTGTATGCTTCCCGGGAAGCTGAGAATGTTTCGGAGTGTACTATGGTCTGCTGGGGTAATAATATAGTGTAAAGCGCATAGAGCCTGCTGTTGAGCGGGGATATGCGCTATACAAATGCTATCTATTATTATTATTATTATTATTATTATTATTATTATTATTATTATTATTATTATTATTATTATTATTATTAATGATTATTATTATTATTGCATAAAAAAGATAGGTTTCAAGCTTCGAGCATGCATCATCCACTGAAAACATTTGGTACGGATAGGCTACCACACACACACAACAACAGCAAACAAACAAACAAACAATAATGCAGCGACAAGTTTGTAGACATGTCGACTTCTAAGAGTTAATAAGGTGAACGAAAATAACAAATTGAATATCGTAAGTAACAATACACGGGCAATTATGGGTTACTTTGTATTACTTCTCTCTCTTCCCCCCTCCACCCCTCCCCCTCCACCCCTCCTCCCCGCCTCCAGCAAACTCAAGACCTGGCAGACAGTGGCGCCCTCCTGGGTACACATGCCAAGACTCTGGTGGCTGATGTAGACTGTCCCGCCTCGGCGACGTTTGTGAACCAGGTGAAAAGACAACGTGGTGTTGTGTGTGTGTGTGTGTGTGTGTGTGTGTGTGTGTGTGTGTGTGTGTGTGTATGTGTGTGTGTGTGTGTGTGTGTTGTTGTTTTTTTGTGTTTTTTTTTGGGGGGGGAGCCAGAATAATAATATTATAGTAAAAAACAAGGCCATAGAGACGGATAGTGCAACGTTCGTTATCCAGGTAAAGACATAACACATTTTGGATAAGTTTTTGGGGAGGGGGGAGAGAGTTGCCAGGTGAGGGAGGGTGAGGGATGAGAGGAGAATAATGTTATAGTAACACACAACGGCACAGTGACCTAATAATTAGTGCAACATTTTTAATAGCTACGTCTTGTCATGGGCCTTGGGTTCATGCATGGTATTGTCATTGTTCTTTATTGTTGCCATGGCTCAGGTGCTGTCATGGTTATGATATGGTTGGCGCTCATATGACCTTATCAGTTTCGAGCGCCGTAAAACCTCTACTAAAACAAAGAAGGCTATAATAAATTAATCGTTGCTACCTGTTGTCATGACTTCATAATAATATTACTATTATATTACTATCATGGTTACGAGTCAGCACAGTTATGTGTTGTAGTGGCTACTTTTTGTTATGGCTCTATCATGTTGTCATGGCTACATCTGTTAAATTGTCATGAGTATATCATGTTGTCATGGCAACAAGTAATTGTCCTGACTGCGTGTTCTGTGGACTCCCCAGACGTTCGTGAACCAACACAGCGCTGAGCCAGCCGTGTACGCGCGTACCTTCTGTGTGTTTGAGTTCCCCAACGGCTACCCTCTGAGGAGACACTCGGCCTATGGACTGCACCAGGTGCACACATTACCCATCATTATAATGTCGCTTGACAGTTGTTCAGATGTATTAAGCCCATTTTTAGGTTCCTTTATTTATCTTTTTATCTTTTTTTATCTTCTTTTGTAGAGCTGATCAGACTTTGATCTTCAGACACAGGGCACTTACACTCCAATAAGCACATAAAAAGAATTAACCCCATGTTGGAACCCCATTGCAGACACTGTGACTATAACGAGGAGAGCGTTGAACTATTCTTCGACGCAGGCTCCTACACACACCTACAGACTTACAAAACCTGCTCTACTCTGGCTTTGACCAGATGACAAGGACATGTGGTTACTTGAGGGAGGCATTGCGCTGCCAAGAGCGAAATGCTCGCAGCTAAAGGGATTTGAAAACAACAGCAACAACAACAACAACAACAACAACAACAACACCCAGCGGTGGCATCTCTTCGAGGAGGATTCAGGGAGGTTGGACTGCCTCACCCGCTACCCAAGGGAGGCGGTGGCCCTTGCGAAGAGCACACTCTTCGGGCTCCGAACATTTCGAACGGATAGGCTACCACACACACACACACACACACAACAACAACAACATCTTTTTAACTGCAGTTTATTGAGAAATAAAATGTACTTTTAGAAAGTTGGGTTATAGCCTTCAAAGTACCGACTGAATGCGCTGGGAACAGGACATCGAATAAGAGTATGTATGATGTGCTGTGCAGAGTAAGTCTGATTCCCTGTAAAGACCTCTCTGTTGACACCCACCCCTTGGCGCTCATATTATGACCTTATGCAGTTGCGAGCGCCGTAAACCCCTCTACTATAAAAAAGACCATGAAGAATGAAAATTGTTTCAAAACTTTAAAAAGGAGAAAATGCAACACTTTGCAATAACACGTACAGTAAGCTGTTACCAGGTGGTCTTAAACTTTTGGTCACAACTGACACGTCTGGATTGTTTTTGTTTTTTGGGGAATTTTCTTTTGTTTTGTTTTGTTTTGCTTTTTTTTTTACTTATCGTTTGTTCTCCTGGTACAGGGAGCCTTCTACGGCGGTATGCAGGACATCGTGCTCACGCTGCGGTCAGCGCTGACCATTGGGAACTACGACTATCTCGTGGACTTTGTCTTCCACCAGAACGGCGTCATCGACGGACGCTTCATGAGCACAGGTGAGACTGGTGTCGGAATAAATGATAGCCGATGTTGTTTTGTGTAGTGGCGAGTTTAACTGCTAAGTTTTAGTTGTTAAAGTTTTAATTGTAGTTAACTAGTAAGTTTAAGTAAGAGTTTAACTAAGGTGAACTGCCAAGTTTTAGTTAGAGTTAAACTTAGGCGGACTTTTACGATTTAGTAAGAGTTTCAGTACGATATACTGCTAAGTTTCAGTTAGAGCTTACTGGGGTAAACTTTTAAGTTTTAGTAATAGTGTAGTAATAGTAAACTAAGGTAAACTACTTGTTGGAATAAATGATAGCTGATGTTGCCTGTTTATTTTATTTTATTATTATTATTATAGTAGTGGGTTTTACGACGCTCGCAACTGCATAAGGTCATATGAGCGCCAAGGGTGGGTGTCAACAGAGAAGTCTTTACAGGGAATCAGACTTACTCTGCTCACCTCTCTAGCTTCAACAGCACAAGGTCTGCTTCAACTATCAAGGTACCCCGGAAATAGCAGGAAGAGTGACAAACATACAAAAGAAGTAGAGGAAAATGACAATAGTAAGGATTAGGAAAGATAAAGCAGCAGTTCCCTGTTGTAGATCAGGCACAGTTATGAGCGTGACGGGAATCAGCCCATTTACAATTCTACTGTGCTTGAACGAGAGATGTCCCCCCTTTGGGAATGGTCTAAAGACACTACAGTCAGTGGCACTGCCCCGGGGGGACATGTTTAGTTTTAGTAAAAAGCTGTGTTACTATGTTTTAGTTAGAGTTTTAACTGTGGTTAACTAATAAGCTTTAGTAAGAGTTTAACTAAGGTGAACTGCTAAGTTTTAGTAAGCGTTTAACTATGATAAACTGCTAAGTTTTAGTTAGAGTTAAACTTAGGTGAACTTGTATGATTTAGAAAGAGTTGAACTCAGATATACTACTATGTTTTAGTAAGAGTTAGGTAAACAGCTAAATTTAAGTTAAAATTTATAGAGGTAAATAATTAAGTTTTAGTAATAGTTTAATTATAGTAAATTAAGGTAAACTAGGGAAAATTAGATGCATTTAAGTAGTTTTCATAGGAGTTTAATAAGTTAAAACATATATCTTCTTTAACTAATCTCTCCTCCCTAATTTTTATGTTTGTTACTCTCTTGTACCACCTCTAATCTTCGGCACTTACATGGCCTTAATTATATTACAAGTACCGTGAAACTCTCAGGAAAACGAACAAAGATAGATCCTCAACCACCTCACCCCACCCTTCTGTAACCACCTCACAGGCTATATCCAGAGCTCCATGTATTCTCACAACGAGCGGTACGGCTTCCAGATCAGCAAGGGTGTGCTGGGAAATCTCCACCAACACCTGGCTCACTTCAAGGTCGACCTGGATGTTGGTGGCACGGACAACAGATATCACACGCTGGACATTAGACCTCAGGAGATCAACATGACACTGGTCAGTTGCAACACATATGAAAACACACAAACACATACATACATTCATACATACATGCATACACACATACATACACACACACATACACACACACATACATGCATACACGCATTCACACATACTTACATACACACAAACATACATACACGCATACACACATACATACATACATACATACATACATACATGCATACAGATACCATACACTGGACATTAGACCCCAGGAGGTCAATATGACACCGGTAAATGCAATCATATGAGCAGTGATATCATATTATACACACATATACACACATACACTCTTAAAAACACACACATACACGCATACACACACATACATACATACAGATACCACACACAGGACATTAGGCCTCAGGAGGTCAATATGACATTGGTCAGTAGCAACACATACGAAAACACACAAAAACATATGAAAACACACAAAAACATACGAATGCACACACATACATTACATACTTACAGGTACCATAAACTGGACATTAGACCCCAGGAGGTCAATATGACACCGGTAAATGTAAACACATGAGCAGTATATTATATTATACACACATATACACACATACACTCTTAAAAACACACACGCACGCACACGCACACATACATACGGACAATCGATATCACACACTTAACATTAGGCCTCATGCAGGAGGTAAATATGACACTGGTCATTAGCAACACATACGAAAACACACAAACAAATACATACATGTACGCATACACACATACATACATACACGCATACACACATACATACATACACGCATACACACACATACACACACACACACACGCACACACACACGCACACATACATTCGGACAACGGATACCACACACTGGACATTAGGCCTCAGGATATCAATAGGACATTGGTAAGTGCAAACACATACGCATATTACATGTCCATACACACACGCAAACACACTTAAAAATTATACAAACTCAATCTATAAATTTGACGTAGCTATTCATCATCATCATCATCATTGCCTTTCTCACCCTGCACCAGGGTATAGGCCACGGACAGACATTTTCTCAACCTGCACCAGGGTATAGGCCACGGACAAACACTTTCTCACCCTGCACCAGGGTATAGGCCACGGACAGACACTTTCTCAACCTGCACCAGGGTATAGGCCACGAACAAACACTTTCTCACCCTGCACCAGGGTATAGGCCACGGACAAACACTTTCTTACCCTGCACCATGGTATAGGCCACGGACAAACACTTTCTTACCCTGCACCATGATATAGGCCACGGACAAACACTTTCTCACCCTGCATCAGCGTACAGGCAACGGACAAACATTCTCCAACTTTTTCTATCCTTGGCTAGCCTCTTGATGTTATTCCATATCTTCCCACTTGTCTGTACAAAAGTACATGTATCTGTGATTGTTCTCCAGTCATTACTTACTATTCACTCACAACGTGTTGACGAAACTTTGTTTCTTGCTCGTTCTCCCGGAAGTTCCCGGACCGGAAGTACCACCAGAGCCATTTTGAGCCACATTTGCTGCGGGACGAGCAGGAAGCGTTGTACCAGTTCAACTTCGACACGCCCAGATACCACGTGATCAGTAACGAAGCTAAGAAGACGGACACGGGCCTGGCGAGGGGATACAGGTCAGTTTTTTTATGTTGTAGTGCTGGTGGTCTAGTGGTTAGGCTGCAGGATTCGTAGTCGTGAGTTTTCGGGTTTTGGGGGTTCGAGCCAAATCACAGGACCGACGTTTAGTCTTTGGGAAATGCTCTTTACACGATTTTCTTCACTGCACCCAGGTGTGAATGGATACCGGTCAGTTTTTGATGTTGTAGCGTCTGTGGTCTAGTTGTTTTTGGGGCTAAAAGTCTTCTATATCTATTCAAAAATGCATGTAGACTTTACTGAAAAGCGTTAATCAAAGGCACAAGTTTTATAAATTTACTGTTTTCAAAGACACTCAAGCTTTGTAATTCACTAAACTTTGGCGGCCATTTTCTCTCTACTTCTACCTCTACACCAGACGACCCCCAGCTCCTTTAATTGCAACAATCTTGACTTCTATTCAAGATAAATAAGCAAATTTTTCATCAAAACTGCAACTGCAAGCTTTAAGAAGATACCAATTGCTCCATTTTATGCCTCAAAATTGACGAACGACTGCTTCTACCGTGTTGTGACAGAATTATGATAACGTGTACATAATTCTTTGACTGAATCAAATCAGTATAACAATGCATGTTAGTGGTTGGCCGGTGCTCTGGTGGGGTTTTCTCCTTCTTTCTTATCAAACCTCTATCGTCATAATCCCCCCCGCCCCCTCCTTTTATGTTTGTTACTCTCTCGGGACACATCTAGTCTTCGGCACATTTATGACCCGATTATGTTGCAAGAGCCGAAAAACTCTCACTAAAACAAAACTAATAATGCCTCTCTCATGACGTCTTTCTGCAACCACCTCCTCCCCACCCCTCCCCCTCCCAGGCTGACCTTGAACGGCATGAGCAAGTTCCTTCAGTCACGTGACCAGCAGAACGAGCCTCTGGCATCCTGGGCGCGTCACCAACTGGCGGTGACCAGACACAAGGACAGCGAGCTGACGTCATCCTCTAACTACGCCATGTTTGATCAGCTGGAGCCCACCGTCAGGTTCACAGACTTCTACAAGGACAAGGAGAACATCGTCGACCAGGTACAGTCCAACTTAATTGTTCTAACGGTCACATGTTTAAGACAATCCCTGTTCTAACAGTCACCTGTTTAAGACAATCACCTGTTCTAACAGTCACCTGTTTAAGACAATTACTTGTTCTAACAGACACCTGTTTAAGACAATCACCTGTTATAACGGTCACTTGTACAAGGACAGGAAAGCATCGTCGACCAGGTAAATCTCTTTTACGGACATTGCATTGGCTTCCTGTTGAGAAAAGAATATGGCCACCCGATGTCACAAAATGAATGATGACGCGCCATCATATCCATAAAATCTGTTAGGACTGTACATTCCAACTCGCAGTTTAAAGTCATCAGCTGGCAAAAAGAAATTTATTTTACCATCTATGAAACTTAAAACAACGGGTGAAAGTGTATTTGAAAACCAAGGCCCCAAGATCTGGGATGCTTTACAAAGTACTTTAAGAGAGATCAAATATTTTGATTCATTCAAATGTGAGCTGAAGTCGTTTATGTTTTTAAAGTAATAAGATGAATATTTGAAGTGATTTTCTTTTAGTCAGAACACAACGTTTTATGTTACTGTTGTACGTTGTACTGTATTGTAAAGTGCGCAGAGCCCGTGTACTGTATTCGGGGTTGAGTGCTATATAAATGTTCTTTATTATTATTAGAGTCCAACTTACTCTAACGGTCACCTGTATAAGTCAGTCACCTGCTCTAACGGTCACCTGTATAAGACAATCACCTGCTCTAATGACCGCATTAAATATACACCTGTTTTTTTCTTCCATGACCTGGTTCTATAGCTGACCTATTAGCCTAAAACAACCATTTATTAATATCTATTCCTAACCTCCCCCCCCCCTTCCACCCTCCCGCACTATACACACACACACACACACACACAAACACACACTCACACACACACACACGCACAAACACACACTCTCTCACACACAAAAAAAACACACACGCTCACACACACACATACACACACACACACACACACACACTCACACACACCTGTTTCCCCACAAAGACATATGCTAAAGTGTTGTGACTGACTTACTAACAACCATTAATTAACATCTATCCCACCCCCAGCCCCCTCCCCCCCAAAA